GTTCTGAGTGCACAAATTATTTCCAGTGCAAAACTGTGCGATTTGGTTTGATAAGGCGCAGACTTGAGTGTTAAAGCTCAAGACGTTGTCCTCCGTGTTAGGAATGTTTCCCGAAGGGCTCTGAAGAACTTAATAGTTCATGATTCACGTTACTAAAAACTTCAGCCCCTTCTATACCCGTGGTGTACATACAGGAGCGGCACAGTACAGACACTTCATCATCATCTGCTAGTGTTTTTCAGTTTTGTCACTGTTAGCAAAGCTGATTGGTCCTCAAACCTTGAGTCCACATCCTCGGCTCAGTGTTGTTAGTGATGTGTCCAATAGCTCCGCCCCTTTCTTCAGGATTTCCCCTGATACAGGGGAGTCCAACCTCCTGTCCGCATGGAAGGACAGTTTGCCTGTGTATGACCTCCACAACCCCCCCGGCAGCCTCTTACACGTTCTGTGAGAGAAGGCGGCCTTTCTTTCCTGTCATCAGCCAGCTCCTCAGGTCCTTGATGGAGGGAAGCTTCATTTTATCTTTGTTTTTACTGTAAATGTTCAAGAAAATGCCTAAAAGAACCAGGAGGCCGCCCCAAATGTACCTGTGGAGAGAGTTTTAAAAAGTTTAAAAACTTAAATGTTTCACAAAATCCTCACATGTAAACTACCTGACATGTGACAAAGTTTCAACAGGCCGCTCACTGAAATACAATATTTCAATTAGATTTTCCACTTCACATTACCGTATGGAAATTCTGACCAATCACAGAGCCTTACAACAGGGCTCCTAACAGTGGCTTCTTGTTCTCGTGCATGTGTGCACGTCTGCTCACATGAGTGATGAAATACACGTCCCAAAAATTAGGTTTCACACATTTTCCCTGATTTACAGCTAAAGCGCCAAAAAACACAGTGAGGTGCCAGTCAAGACTGAAATGTTATGAGCTTTGGTGGACATTAATGAAGAAGGATTTACATTCAACATGTCTTTTTTTTTTTTTTACTAAATTTGATTTTTCGACTTTATTTTTCAGGAGCAATAGTTTAGAAATAGAAAATGTAGCCGTTACAATGAAGTCTGAACAAATCCAAAATAAAAGTAAAATGTAACAGAAGGAATAATAAAGTATTAGCTTTCGCCAAAGCAGTCATCTAAAATATACAGACTTAAAAAAAAGGAGCTGCAATGTGGTGCAGCGATTAACACCATCGCTGCACTAAAAGGTTCCAAGCATGAGTGATGATTTGACTGGTGGAGTTCATGTTTTGTTTGTGTTCAGTTGTCTCACTTTTACTGGTTGAACAACCGGTTTCATACAGGACGTTTCAGGGGTTTTAACGGCTGTTGTCAAAGTGTTTGAACATAGAGTGAGTCCTAAGGTTAACATTCTGTTAATAGCCTTTTCTAGAAGGTTCAACCTGTTCAGAAATGTGAAGGCAGATGAGTTCTTAAACTGACTGACCATGTTTGTGAAGTTCAGAACCAAAACCAAATAAACTCCAAATCAAAAAGTCTTGATACTTACTGAAAGGTAAAAGGCTTTGAAAAGAACATGAAGGACAGCACAATAGTCATGGCCTTTCTCCCAGTGGTCACTGCAGAAGAGGGAATGTCTGTGTTACCATCAGTTAATAATTTCATAAATGGTGAAAATATTTCGAAAGCTACATATATAAACAGTCACCAGTGGTTGATGTTCCCTTTCCTTTTTTCCTACAGCACACAGTTTGATAAACTGATCCACTGACCTGTCACTGCAACCAGCGCTCCAAACAGCTTGATCAAGGCCAGGACAAAGGAGATGCCGAAGTAACCCGTAAGTGAGAAAAGAAATGCGTAACCATACGTCTTGACAGGATGCTGGAAATGAAAAAGAAAAAAAAGCTTTTTTCCCTGTATCCCTCTACAAGACAATTGTACAACCTAAATGAAAAATGTAGGTAAGAGCAGAAAAAATGAATAACAGCTGCCACATTGTTTGCAGCTACATGAAGAAATACAGGTTTATAATCACACCATGTTAGGAATTATTCACCTCTGAGCAGAAGGCCACTGCTCTCCCCAGTCCGCCCACACAGACCAGGCCTGTCAGGATGTAGACAAAGCCAATGGAGTATGAATACAGCACCTGGAAACAGGATGAATAATTTTTGGTGAATGATGTCAAAACAAATCTTTTTTTTTTGTAATTACTCAACATTTTGGAAAAGCTGTCCTGTTTATCTCCAATGTTTATGTGGAAGTTTGTAATTTTTCAAACAATTCAATTTTTTCATGTGATTGATCATGATTAATCACAATTGTAATTAATAGCAATTATTCATAACTGAGATAAATCAACATAACAGCAGGGAGATGCACATGTTCACCTCTGGTTGTTTTTGTGACCAGTCCAATTTTCTTCACATACATTATGCATGTATGCAGTGTAACTTGAACTTACTGAATTCATTGAATACATTAATGAATGTGTTTAATGCATACATGATATGTATTGTGGGCATATAAACAGCAACAACACAGTTACCATTTCAGAGTTGGAGCCGTTGTGAAGCTTCATGGCTTTTTCTTGTACATTTCCAATGGCAGCATCCGCACACAGAGCCAGGGAGATGAGGAGAACACCTGTCAGACATGGCACACCCTGGAGGTGAGTTCTGTGAACCACTAACGTTAACTGTCGTCTCTGCTTGTTTTTCCAATAAACTACTGTTTTAACAAACAATCCCGTTTTTTATTCAATAAACTACTGTTTTAACAAACAATCACAACAAAGTATTTTACTTGGACAAAGTCTATTTCTTGTTTTACAATAAGTTGCATTTCAAATGCAAAATTACCTTTGTGTTAAAAGGTAATTAAAAAAACAAAAACTACAATGTTTTTTATGACACATTCAGAAAACAGATTTAGATTCGACTCTTCCTTAACCTTAACAGCACTGCAGGTTGTTAGATTTCCAGTTAAATTATTTGTAGAGAAGGTGGAATTACCTGTTACATTAAAATTTGGTGCCACTTTGCTGTCTGCAAGCGTAAACCAGATGAGTCCAAGACTCATGCACAATGCGGCAGAAACATCAGCAAGATTATACCGTTTACCTGAAACACAACCAAAAAACTTTGAACAATTCTATGAAGACATATTGAACTCATTAGACGATAACTAATAACATTTTTAATTCTTAAAGTAGTCGTAAATAGATTAAAAAATACATACAAGTTCCTAAACTTTTTACATCACAAATACGTGGACCTATGAATTTAACATTTAAATTGTATTTTGAGACAAATTTTCTAATAAAAATTGTTAACATTGCAGGTTACGCAGCTGATGCAACAGACGGAAACTCATCTGTTCACAAAAGACAGCAGCATATGGACATGTATATGGACAGAAAGTTGATGTTCAGGTAAAAGTTTTTGGCACCCATACTTTTCACAACTCACACTTTTTATGTGATTGTTTATGTAACAATGTAGAAAAAAAACTGCCCAAAAAAGGGAGAAAAAAAACAGAAGATGAAGGAGATGTCAAGAAGAAGAATCTGACTGATGGATGCCCCAGGGTTGACACATGGATGCAGCATTAGGTTGGCTGTGGTCGACTTTGATTCAAACACTGGCCTTTGAAGGTCTTTGGATCAGATGCACACTCACACCTGTACCTCTCTCCAGCCCCAATCCCTAACTTTCTTTTCCCCTTTGCATTCTACACAAAAAAAAAAATCTGTTTTTCACCCGGAGCCTTGAGGGATCAGCGGGCAGGCCAGAGAAAAAAAAAACACCAACAACATGTCTGACATTAAGGACAAAAAAAGTTGAGGAGCCCAGTGTGAGGATGAAAGGACAGAGAAAAGGAAGCACAGAAAAGGAGAGCGAACACACTGACGGCAGAAAACAACAGACAGAGATGAAGGAGAAGGTAGCTGGAGTTGAAAGGTGGTTGCTGTTTCAAAAGGTTTTGTGTAGTAGAGGCTAACTCTGGACAACTCCACAAAAAGATGATGTCCAACTTTTTAACACACTGAATGAAAACTATTTATGGCATGGGTCACCAACTTTATTGGTCACAGGGCCAGAATTAATTTGGCCATAAACCTTGGGGGCCATTGGATGGCTTATAGGATTGACGTGGAAACAAATGTACCTTACACGAAACCAAACAAACAGGCATTTACTTTTGATTTCAGTTTCAAAATCACATCTCCACAGTAATTATAGTATAATAAAATGGGAGATAAGTACAGTCAGCATAACAGCCATAACATATTTAAATTTTGTTGACTAATGAAAACACATTCATGCACGGTAGATGCATCAGTAACATCTGTGCAAAACATATTTATCACATAGTATTCTCCACATACCTTGTATAAACACTCCTCCTATCATGACAGGGATGAGTTTACAGCACTTGAAAATGACCTGTGTGGGGTAGTTTAAATAACCCAGGGAGGTATTGGACAGGCCCATGGTCCCCACTGTTAAAAAGGCTATAATCATGTAGGTCTTCCCTGGTATTCTGGAAACAAGAAAATATCAAGTCTTTTAAAAAAGGGATATCCATTTAACCCCCACTTTTCTGGCAGGGGGCGCTATGAACAAGGCTGTGGCCTTTGAATCAGGTGTCACATAGTTGTTATACACATAAGTTGGCATACACACACACACAAAAAATTCCAAGTTGGCATACACACACACACAAAAAAAAAACAAGACAAGAATGCTTTCTGCATCATTTACACTATGTGACAATGGCTTTCTGTATTTAATTTTTATGGTTGATAGTCAGGAAACTCCATTACAAACAAAGTTGTAGAGAATATCATACGGCCTGCTTTACCTTCTGCGTTTGTCCTGTGTGAGTTGAAGCTCCACTAATCCAAACATGGAATAGAAGCCAAACTGGACCAGTGTGAGGTACCAACCAAAAGGTTTGAATCCTTCCACAGAAAATATCAACTCCTTGGGTGAGGAACGAAAGACATGCCATGATGTATTTTCCAAATGTCAAATAAATCCAGCACTATCAAAAATAATATCGTACTAATAGTTTTTGAGTTAGTATTGTATCTAACTACAAACTAGCTATATCCTAACATATATTTGTTATACCTGCAACAGGTATATTTAACATATATATTAAAGCATACTAAACCACTTTTAGCTCTGACAGTTCTTACCTGCAGGTATCCATAGATGAGGTAAAAGAGAAATACTCCTGCTACACAAATTAAAAACTGTGTGGGGGCACTGAAGCTGCTCAGGTTGATTCCAAGAACTTTTAGCTCCTCCACAGACTTTATGTGTGGCGACATCACTTCCGTAGACGATGTGATGGAGATTGAAATGTGCTTCCGTGAACTGTTGTTGTAGCCAGTCAGGCCATATTTAGCACTCATTGTGTTATCAGCTTCTGGGAGCTGTGGAAAGAGCGAGAGAGAGAAAATTAGACAATCATTTTAGAGCATCACTTTATCTTCTTGTTGCTTCAAGCATCACTTGAATCAGTAAAACTGAGAAAAAAGGCTTTTATTCCAAATTCAGTAATATAACTGGTCAAACCACTATCAGTATATTCAGTACAAGCCATGTCATTGAAAGATTGTTGTATGAATTACCATATGACACTGGGAAACATGTATGAAGGAATTAAAAACAACAACAACAACAACAACAACAAACTGTCTCATTGCATATTTAAGTCAAGCCATTTAAGCCACATTACTTAGACTGTGAGTAAACATTGTCTTGATTTAATTACTTTCAAGACAAACAACAACACATATTTTTGGATGTAATTATGCTGTTCAGTTTGTAATGTAGTCTGTGTGAGAATAAAAAAACGATATGACTTGTTTCACCAGACTATGCTGATGTTATAATTATATATATATATACACGCATACGCATTCATTACACATGGCAATAATAATAATACCAGGATATCCGCATACAATAACACTGAGGACAGTCTTACACACATGGCTTGTAATTAGCCACAAATATAAAGGCATTGTGGTGGAAGAGAGTATAGCTCGACAGTATAACGTCATCAGTTTTTTTTAGTTTTTTCAGATTAGAGTCGATCAATCACGACCATTGTGGCTTTATAGTCCTTGTAGGCAGATTGTTTTTACAGTGTGAATTAGCTAAACTACGTAAGGCAGCCGCAGATTGCTAACTCCGAAGCCAAAGAAGCTGTCAGTTTAACAAGCGTCTATTCATCCAATCGGTTGCTGAGGAGTAATCGTCATTAGTTCTATCATTAACTCAAATGTTTTAATCGGATCACCAAGTTAAAAAAGAAGGTATAAAAGTGTTTTATACCTTCAACAGCACTTCCGGGTCTATTTGAATTAGCTTATCCTCTTATGCAGAAGAGATCTCGGCGGAAATAGTTGTCCTGGACCCGCCAGGTTCATCTTTTGTATAGCCTAAATCTTTTCATGTCCTTTTCTCTTCGGTATTAAAAGGCAAACACTCGATAAAAACATATGTTCATCCACACAACGTTACCGGCAAAGCGGCTACTGGCAGTGCTGCTGTCGCACAAGCAGCCAACAACTTCCGCTTTGCTCCGACCTCTCAACTGTAACGCCATTGGTCAAGAAGGACGTACGTCACCGAAACAGGTGAAGTGAAGCATGAGCGCAGTTTTGCAGTAAAGTGCTCCAAAAAGAGCAAAAAGGGAAAAAACAAACAAACTATACAGTAGTTTTAAGTATAAACAAGTCCATAAAGAATGCAAATCTTACCGATGTAGAAGCGTCCTGAAGTTCGTCTATAGAAGAATTCTCCATGAGTTGACGAGGTGAGTTGTCTACTTTTTGCAGGCCACTGTCACTAATGCAGTGCAACACAGAAGAGACACAAAGTAAATGTTGTTGATCCGGTTAAGCCACTCCTTACTTTCTTGACCTATGATCACATTATGTTTTTTACAACAGCAATATGATTCTATTAAAGTAAACAAAAGGGGAATTTTGAAAAAGTAACTAGCACCTGCTATTTTGTATTATAAAATACAATAAAAAAATCAATGGAGGCAGATATCGAGTTGTAAATTGTTTCTTAAAAGTTTAGTTTTCTCTACTGCACAGCGTGATTGCTGTGTTTATATCTTTCGTGACGATTGCCAAACACTTGTAGAGTGCAGTCGGTTGTGCCATTCTTGGCCAGTAGACGGCGAAATTCTGCAGCAATTCAAATTAAAAAATAAAAACAGCGTATTTTTGGTCAACATTTAAAAGTGCAGAGACAATATTTAAACCTGCGATTCTTTCCACTAGAACAAGGACCACTACATTAGGTCCCTAATGAATTATCAAAATACAGAAATTAATAAAAGGTTACTCTTTTGATGAATTGTTGATACTTTCCTTTCCTTGGATCCCAAAAAGTTTGAAAATTTGCTATTATTAAACTTTAAACCTTATTGTACATAAAACAGACAAAAATAAAGTGACAAAATATAAATAACATTGTAACCTATTAGGGAATGTCTAGGTTTTATGTGTTATTGACAACATTTTTCCTGAAATCTGTCTTCTTCTGTGCATCATAGGTCGGCTGCTTCGACCATTTTGCTGTGCTTGGTTCTTCTCGAGCAGTCTGTAAGTTTTGACATGCACCATGGAAGGGGGTGGGACAACTGTGTTTTCTGATTGAATAAAGATTCAAGATAATTTAAGAAAATTTAAACAAACACGTTAAACAACAAATGCCCTTTGGTGAGCTACTTGGAAAAGCGGGGCGAGCTACTAGTAGCTTGCAGGTGATGCATTGGAGACCCCTGGTTGAAATGATACTGATGATGAGAGTTGTATCTCTGTATGGGTTTCTGTTTTCAAACATAATTTGGTACTAAGTGCTGCCACAACTGTTACCTTTTGGCTTTATTATAATAATCAGTTATTATCGACAGCCACTGTAACATTTGTCCACCTGTTCTGTTTATATTCTAAGGCAGCACAGACTTTAAAGCACAACAAATAATATAAAGTGCATTGCAGGACAAGGATATAAATGATGTGATCATCCACATGGGGGAGATTCCCCTCCATCTATTTTCCCATTAAGTCTCTCAATCCTCTGTCCGGCTTCTTTGTTCATATGAGCTTTTCTGTGCTCCCCCAGCCTCCTCTTACATTTCCTCCACTTTTCCACTTTTCTTATTACATTATGCCTAGCTCCACTCCCTCTGTTCTGCCTATGTCACACAGACATCTCATATCCCTGCTGCTTCTTCTTTGGCTTCCCTGGAATGAGGCATGAAACTCCTTCATCTCCCCTCTCCCCTTTTCTCTCCATTAGCTCTCCATTCACACTGTACTCTACGTCCTCTCTTCTCTCTGTCTTCTGTCCTCTGTCCTCAGCCAGAGGTTAATACACTCTAGGATGGCATTATTTCCACCCTGGCCTTCCTACAATATAAAAATTCAGAATGGACAGCTCAATCCCTCTTCCATCTCAGATTTGATTGTAATGGTATTGCCTCCTGTCCCTGGGAGGCCCCTGCCGCCTACCATCCCGCCTTTTATGACACTAAATGGCCAGGCTACAATTTTTCCATCCATTCAAAAGAATCTGTTAATAACTCATTGGGAATGAGACGCGTGCTCTCACTGGGCTGTCCGTGGCCAGGTCTCCCACCTCTTTGCTCTCATAAGAGGTCAAGGTATACTGAAGTAGATGCAGGGCTGAATCGCAAATGTAAGGGGTTAATTAATCTTGGTGAATTTACAGTCCTCCGCCCATTCCCCGTGCACTTCAATTGACAGTCCCGAAGAGACAGAAATGTCATATTTACAACCATAAATGGAGGAAATGCTCAGCCATGCACAGGAGCTGAGCGCAGGTGCAGACCTGTCCAGCCACTCTCGCCTCTCCCTCGTCCAACTTTACAAGTGTGGCCATTCATCACACGTGATGGATTTATGTAATAAAACCCATTTCCTCTCCCCATACGATCCTATTAAATAATAAAATAATTATTTATTGATTATTCAAAAAAGGTACATATGCGCGGGTAATGGCTTTGTACCACACCACTGGACCTGCAATAAATAAAGCAGGCAGGGAGAATGGTTGGGAGAGATGGAAAGGTTTAAAACAGAGGAGAGAGAGGGAGAAATGAAGGGGAACAAAATGACTTCTGAACAAGAGAAGTCTGGATCCAATATGGCTTCTTGCAGCATGCATCAAGAAGGACATTATTCAGTCTTCGGTGGACTTATATGGGAGCATGACCCATGAATATTTTTTCTATACATACATGAAACGTACGGTGGACCAAATTGTTTGACTGCTTAGAAATTGTATTCCCTTTTCAAGCAATTTCGAAGTCTTTTTTTCCCCATATAGTAATGTAGTGGGAAAACTTACATTACTTTACTTTGTATACATTAAAAAAAATTCGCAAGAAATTCAAAACTACAGTATAGCTACAAAAATAAACTTTTTTTTTTTTTGTGCTGTCTTGAACAATTTGTAGCATAAATAGCTGAAAGTTAGCAAATGCTATTTATAAACGTAAACCCACAAATAGCTGGATGTGAGTCAAAAAAAGACTTGAAATGGGAACGTGCTAATATTTTCATCACAAAATTAAATTAGTGGAGTAACACATTTTTTCAGCCGTCATTGTTTTCCTTTTTGGTGTTAAATGTGTTTCTTCTCTTTACAAATACCTTTTTTTTGCCAAGCTGAAGCTAAGTTTTCTGAGCTACTAACTTCTTCTGCTATGACCCCCTCCCTCCAAATATTCTTCTTTGGCAAATCCAATAATCTTCCCCAGGTTTGATAACCTTCCGATATGGACTCAGTAAGTTCAGTCTCCCAGACCAATGAGAAGACGAAAAATTCTCTTTGGCCTTCTGAATATTTTAGGGTTTATAGATCTGTGTAGTAGGTTCTTTTTTTAAGTCCATTGAACAATTCTTTCAGGGTTTCACTAGAAGAATGGTCTTCTTTGAATTATGCCTCTGCCCCCACTCTTCTTTAAACAAATGCAACAGTTTTTTCTTTTGAAATGTTAACATTTCACTAAGATACCAAGAAAAAAATGTTCTTTTTGGTGAAGCTAACAAATTTATCCTTTACCAATGAAACAGTTGAATTTGTTAGTTTAGTGACAAACACACTGAATAAACTGTTTATAATTAAAAGTACTATATTATCAGGTCAATAAACCCAGAAATGTATTTAATGCTTATAAACCACTTCAATTATAGGTTAGAGAAAAACAATGAATTTAGAAACGATAACACTTTTATAACAGTTTAGCTTTGTTCAATGATATTTTCTATCAGATTAACAGTAAGCCTCACATCTCCTGCTGTGAATCATTTTGAAAGGAGACACTTAAATGTCAGCCAGGTATGAGACTTAAGTTCTCCTTAAGAACTCATTTGTGTTTGCTCTTATATCGGGCTAAAGTGCACTCGCTCTCCACCGCCTTCTTCCTGGGCTTGTCTCAAGCCTCCTGCATGGTACGGAAAACAGATGCTATCTCGGCTATATTACTTCTCAAAGCGCTCATATCCTCTCCAATGTTATTTTCTTTGATCTGCTGCCTCCCCTTCCAACTCACCCCCGCACCTCCCAGCCCACAATCCTCTATCCTCTCTGCTTTGACCAGAGAGCAGACTCGGCCTGACTGGTTCAAGGCGAGTGTGGACATTAGAAATGCACTTCATCTGTTCCCTGTCATTAGAGGGCAAGAGGTGCGTCGTGAGGTGAACATCTCAGGTTCTTTGTTAACAGGCGGTCACCGTGATGTTAGAATATGAAGCTGAACTGGGACGATGAATACATCGGGTTCAATGTATTATTGTATTTATGGGATGTTTTGGTTCGTAACATGCAGCTACGCTAACATAGATCTGATCACAACGGTGAAGAAGGAACTAGAAGATAAACCCACCTTAAATGTGAAGACATGTTGATATATAGAAATGTGGAAGTAGTGTGGAAAAAAGTCTAAGTTGATGTGAAATGATATCCAGTATAGTGCAACTTGTTAGTTGTTGTTGAAATTTACCACAAATAATATAATTCTTTGAATTTATTTATTTACTATATAAATATACTATATTGACTTCAGACACAGATTGGAGATTTAATCTGATCTCCCAGTCAGGTTTAAATCCTGCCATGGTGAGAGTGTATTTAACAAGCATTCAAAATTCCTGGGTCAACAGGCGATACTGAGATTGCAATCCCAAATTTATAAACCTAAATGATTTGAGTACTTTATTTTTATTTTTCTGAGAATATGGATTTATGTCTAAATATGATGAATCGTTACAAGTAAGAAACAATAATTTAAATTGAACTAGAACTCAAAAGAGTTTCTTTAATATGGTTGCCTGCTGCAAAAAATGCAACGAGAAATTAGACGTCATTAGAATGTTCTGTTTTCCTACCTTAACCTAACACTAACCCCAGACGATTTATTCTGTCAACCTCACATTAACAAAAACCTCTAGTATTTTAAGTGTTTTTCATTTTGTGAAGTTGAATCTATATTAATCTCACAAATGTTTCCCAACAGGAAGAAGACCTGAGGGCACAGAGGGCACAGAGGGCAGACACAAGATCCCAGTCTGTGGCTTTACTCAGGAGCAGCCAGGAGGGGGAAGCATCCCTCTTTGCTTTTGAACCGAGAAGGAAGCCAAAGAAAAAGGTAATTAAACAAACAATTTAGCAGGAAGTGTGCGCCTGCTTATCCAGTCGACCATATTTGCTGCTGCTCTAATACATGTATAGATAGAAAATGCATGGGTGGGTGGGAGTTGGGGGGGGGGCTATTTCTACACTCCTCATAGATGGTAAATGACACACATGTTTCATTGCCCATTCATTTAACCTGCGCTGTTTTTATAAAGAGAAAAAGGATTGAGAAACAAATTACGTAGTGTCATTTAATTAGGAGTTTTGCTGTGAGCAATAATCCTGTTTTTTTTTTTTGCCTCATAACCTTTAACTACTTAATGGATTTGAGAAGCTATTACTTTTCAAGATTTCTGTTATTGTCACAGGTATGGAATGTCAATCACTCAGCGGGATTAATGCCGTGGTTAATATGTGTTTGCATATTATTTACTTGTTGATTAGCGCTGGAGGAAATGCGGCTTTCACAACGCCAGATAATGTTTTTTTTTTTTTTTTTTTAATATTCTTTTGTGTTTCTGTGTGGGTTTTTCCTGGTGATGTTTTTTTGGGTACTTTTTCATGATTTTATTTATGACTGAGCTTGTTTAATATTTAATATTTATTTTTGAGTTAGAATTAATGTAACAGTCAGATTAGTGTGAGGAAAAGGAATATTGAAAAATGACATATATTTATGATGGTTAAGGTTTAAAATAATGGGCTAGTGTGTGGGTTCCCAAAGTGGGGTGGCCCCCAGAAAAAGGAGCTATTTAAATTTTTTTCTTTATTTGTGCCACCGTGAGGAAATTGCACTGATTTTATTTCCTCTGTTTAAGAATAGCAATTTGTAGGAACACATTGTTTTTAGTAAAGTTTGCTGCAACTTTGAAGCAACAACTGGAAGGATTTTCACATGTCAGTTGTTCTATCCACAAAAGGAAGGGGGCGCTGTAGATTTTTTTTTGTGGACCACTGACCAAAGGAATGCAAAATGTTCATGTGAAGTGCTTGCAACACACTAACCCAGTGAGTGTGTGTCAGAGAAGTCATGTGAGAGGCGCTTGATTTATTTGGGAGATGTTTCCTGATCTGGGATCAGCGGTTCTTCTACAACAACAGGCTGCACACGTGAGAAAAAAATAAAAAAATAAAAAATTAGACACACCTAAGATTTAGATATTGAAATGGATCCACTTGTGGATCTTTTGTAAAATAATAAACACCGCTCCAGTCAAGCGTTTCCAAAAGTCCATGATGTTTTTACCCTGGTTTGACAAGGCTGTCAGGCTGGTGGGCTGGTAACCAGCCCCCTCAGACCCCCCATGGCACACAGGGCATGTAATCATCCGGCAAGTCTCTCTGGGTGTCTGCACTCTCATAAAGCAGGGAAATGAATTGTGTGGCCCAGGAAGGAAAAAATGAAAGAAAAGGAGAATGAAATTACAGGCCTGGCTGACGGTACAAATCATGCATATGATGTTTTATGGCTCGCCAGAAGAATTCAACACCTGTGGATCACCGTAGCTATAATTGTACATGAATGCGGCAGGATGGCAGTGGGAGGACAGTTGTGGTTTGTGTGTCACCGAGTATGCAACTGAGAGTGTGTACACACACACCTTCATCGCGTCCGTGTGTGAGCAGCTCTGTTTTACTTGGCGTGACAAGAGGGAAAGACGATAAAAGAAAGTGGAGGGCACGCCTTTTGTTCAGGTCTTGAGTACATCCTGGGTGAGCCTCACACGGCCCGCACGGCTCGCTCGCTGATCCTTGATTTACCAGTGTAATTACCTTGTTTGTTTACCTTTTCTGGTTTGGTGGGAAAACACAGTCTGATTCATCCGATCGGGAATATTCTGCCAGACTCTGGCACTTCTGCTGTAGATTTTTAATTAAACGAGCAAATCGGTGAATTATAAATCACCACTTGGTGAGACCACTAGGTTTGTTTGAACCTGGTCTTCTTCAAAGCTGACACACCTGCTGCTCAACCTTTCAATAAAAACACACACATTATTCCAAGGCCAGGCTCATGAGAATTAACCTTTCAACCAGTTTCAGACGTATTATTACTTTTTTTTTTTTTTAAGTCTTAGCTTCAGGCATTTTTGGCCGTTTTGCTTCAGCGTTCATGTAGTTATTTTTAAATCTATACTTTCTTATTTTATTTAATCTTCTCAGACTAAAACTTTTTCACCATTTTTTTTTTTGTTTAAAAGTAGCCGGTAGATTGATGTATAGGATGTATAAATAAGTAAGATGACATCACAGTCCAAGTCTTGCCCACCTCTGCGCCCTGGATGCTGATACTTGAGTCAAATTGATTACACCACTCCATCTGCATTATGACTGGCCTCCTCCTGTGTTTGCTGCCTCTGCCTACAGCACAGAGTTAGTGTACAATTACATATAGTTTAATATATCTGCCTTAGCACCTTTAAATAAGCATCACAAGTCCACAAGGTGATTTGTCTTCCAGCCCCATTACTCCATTGTACATCTTGATAGCCAGGGATCGCTCTGAGCTATGTTTAAGCATTAAATAGTGTATTATTATTTCACATAAATCAAGCTGAGATGTTAGAGGGCATTCATAAATTTTGCATTTCTCACAGACAGTATTTTAACCCCCCTCTCCAAACCCCCACGCACACACACTCCGTCTGCACTGCTCTGAATTTTGAAACTAAAGCAATTCCACTTCCACTGCACCTGAAACTGCATCAAGGATGAGCACACCAGGCAGGTATATTCACAACAACATGTAATCCACTTTAGATTAACTATGACTTACTCTAACACATTCATCACAGCACTGTTTGCATAACGAGTCGCCCGAGCTCCTGGCTTCAGAAAAACCCTGTCTTTTTATTGCCATGAATAATGTGGAAAAAATCCCCAACAAAAGAGGTTTTATCACGATGTTTTCACAGTTAACGCCGGCTACTGAGTGTCTTATCTGTGCTGCACGATAAAAGAATTATATTTACAGGGGCATGTTTGCTATCAACCCTTTCCCAAGTGACCCCCCCGTCCCCCAGTGTCACACACACACACACACACACACACACACGTAAACACCCCCTGATTATTAGTCCTGTGTTTGTGCAAAGCTTCAAAGGAAATGACTTAGCTCCGCACAGATGAGCTGCCTTAAGTGTTAGTCAAGGCTGCAGCAGCCGAGACATGGAAGTACATTAGAGTGTACGTACTGTATGTTAACACACTAGTGAGAAAATAAGAACTCAGAGCTGCTGAAGTACTGCAGTACAAATATTTCCTGAACCCTCACACGAAGGAAACTGACACAAAACTTCTCACAAACGCAAACAATTTACGAACCACTTTGCAAAGTTTTACAGTCAATTAAACAGAAAGTTATTTCTGATTAGCCTTGAAGTTATTTGATTTGTAAAATGCAGAAAATACAAAGAAAATGTTGATCATTTTGTCGTCCCATCAAAATAAGAAAAGAAAGAAAATCAGATTTAAGACATTGAATTGGAAAAATAGAGCTCAGGTAATAATTATTAATCAAGGTTTTGTTTTTATTGTTTTGGCTCTAATTCATTTTTCAGGATTTTGTTTACAGGTGAAATGCTGAACACTAAACTGAATAGTGGAATTTACTCTTTAAAAGGTTTTACCTTTATCTCTACTAAAAATTCAAGAGAAAATAAATGACATTTAGTTTCCAGATTAAGGTAATTAAGAAAAGGTGAATTAGATTGTAACACAATTCTAGTAAAAATTTATTTTATGTTTCAGTTCATAATAGATAATCAAAGATTAATTAATTAATTTTTTTACTTAATGTCTTTGTGCATAACACAATGCAAACTATTTAATCTTTTTTTTTTAGTATTTGATATTTAAATACCAGGTAATACTGAGGAGTTAGATTAATGTTTCTGTAACTAAATTTCTCAGTCTCTGGGTGTTTGCTTTAACAAAACTTGAGGAAATGAAAATCAAACAAATGCTTTTATTAATTCAAAAGTCTCATAGTTTAATTCTTCCCCTCTTTTTCTTTTCTCTTCACACTGCAGAATTTACAACACAGTTAAAGGTAATTTTCACTTTAAAACATGCTTGTCATTTTCAGCACATAATAATTATATGACCCAGTGGCCCTGGGGGCTGCAGAGCTGCTACAAAGTCAGTAAAAAAAGAGTCATGTTTAAGTCATAGCAAATTGGAAATTGACAAGTTGCCAGGACAGTAAGTTGAGAATTTTGGGGGGGAGTGGGTGGGGCGGAGGTGGTGGCGGGTGTGAGACGAACGTCTTTGAACTAGTTTGTACTTGCACAAAAAAGCGTTGCTCCTGGGTTGATATTCTCCTCTGAAGTGTTTGACGGCAGTGAGAATTAAGAAATAAAGAGCCGCGCTGCCAAATGATTCAGAGGAAAGATGGCAAATACCCACAGGTATTCTGTTCACATGACATCACTGCGTGTGTGTAAAGTTCTATATACCGATTTTATAGCTCTTTTTTAAACTTGGTACCTTCCTTTTTTAACCTGCTGTGGAAGTGTGGAAGTGAACGTTCTTGTTGACTGGTTGCCGTTTGTGTCTCAGATTCCTAACATATGTTGCTTCAAAGCACATGAAGGTGCAGGCAAGAGCGTCTCTGTCTTTCTTTATCTTTAACTCCGGTCCTTTATTCCCTGAAAGAATGTGTCTTCTGACCTTGACATGTGTAGTTTGCCTGAATCCCTCCCCCCCCTTTTTTTTCTTCACCCCCACTGTCAGATCCTACTGGGAAATTGGAGCTTGTCATCCCACTTTCTTGTGATCGTTCTGCTTCTCAGCTTTCACGTGCGGAGCGTACCCTGACTCACGACAATTCCTGCGAGGATAAATACTTGGGTAAATTCAATAAACATAATCCAGACATGCTCTATTTGAGCCCGTCTGTCTGGTTCTGTCACTGAAAGGGTGCAAAACGTGTGAAGGTTAGCAAAACTTTGATAAACTGTCACATTTACAGTCGTTGTACTAAGGCATTACTACAGTACTGAGATGTTAAATACATTGAATTAGCTTGTCGTATTAGCCTGGTTTGCTAAACTTTTTACGTTTATATATTGTTTGTGCAAATTCTGCAAAAAAACTTTATTGTGTATCTTTATTGATTTTATTACACTATTTACTTTAAATATTTTTGTTACTTTTTGTTCACATAACAATGAAACTTTTTAAAGCTTTACATCATGTTATTGTAAGGATGCAGCCACAGGAACTAGCTTACACAGTTATCCTCAATAAAATGTCACACCGATTATGTATTCAAATAAATGTTGTTTTTGTTGTACAAATATAAAAATATATTTTAGCTAATATTTGATTTTAAATTTTAATAAATGTCTCTCAACAATATGTCTTAAAATATTGCACATATTAAAAAAAAAGATTATTTAATTCAAAATCACATTATTTACATTTTTCAATGTTTTTACTGCATTGATCTGTATATGTTTAGGTAAAAACTGCATGAAGAAAAAAGTAAATATTCCAACTGCTTTATGTACTGTGTGTATTACTGTAAACACCTACTCTACCTACACTGTTATGAGCACACAGATAAAAAAAGTAAATATAAAGAGTCCACATTTCTGTATTTCTCTGTTCAGAAATACATTTTCAGAGGGTGTGTGTGTGTGTGTGCACACAGTCACACACACACACAGTCACAATCTCATAAATCATCTATTAAAGAAACCCTGTTATAGATTTACCCAAAAGTACACACATGCAGTTTTACACACATGTATTTACAGATGTATAAAATGACAGTTTAATGTGCACTGACAAGTAACACACCCCCTCTGAGCACACACACACACACACACACACACACGCATGCATGACTCCAAACAGACTGCAGCAACACAACATTAAGCCGTTTTCTCTTCTCTGTTATCTCCAGCTTCCTTTTTGCCCTTTGGTTAAACATTCTCTTGGCATGCATGATCTCATTTAACTTTGATTTCCTCCTTTTCCAGGACGGCATCCTCGATGGTTCCAATTTCCAGCCCATTCCCCAATTTTCAAGCCCAGTGACAGACAACACACGCTGGAATGTCTGTTTAGCCAAAGAAGGGAATTGGTAAGTGATGATTGTCAGTGCTGTTTAAGATAAAACGTAAAGTTTGCAGCAGATAAGGATTTGCCAGGATAAAGAGCAGGAAACTCGGAGACACTGGTTGGAGTGGCTCCGTACCACGTGTGTGATTTTATTTTGCCAGGCTGTAGGAAACGGACGTCTGTGAGTTTGACAGAAATGACAAAACGCTTGTGGAAGGTTTCTTTTTCTTTTTTTTCCCCCCTAATGTTCTGGCTGTGTGTCATGTAATATAGTAGAACTTTAAGAACTATTTTCAATCTTAAATATACCATATAAATAACCCTATAAAAAATAAATATACTTCCTTAAATGATGTCTTAAAAAAAGAATGTATTTACTAAACACACACACACTGATGGTGCAAAACTGGATGGAAACACTGACTCAGTTGAGTGTAGATGTGTCTGGCATCTGTCACTTTCAGATGAGTTCATCTGATCAACTATAACAAGTAGCACAAAACCAAAAGACAAGTTTGAACACACTCAGTCAAAGCACACGGAGTAATTCATTCTCATTAATAAAACCAAAACTGTCAGAACATTTCATAAAAAAATACATAAATCAGTGAGAGACTAAAAGCAATGTGAGCAACATTTGACATATATATATATATATATATCTTAGGAAATATTTGATTTTTTATTTATTTCATTAGCGCTGACTTATTTTTGTGTTTCGGAAAAAACACACAAATAAGAAAATGTATTTAATTCAATTTATTATATATTTGCATTCAAATATTTTTTTCAGAAGACAGCGTTTTTTTTTATTACAACACTAGGTTTGTGGAAGGTTTCACATCAGGCGATGCATTGTAAAATTAGGAGTACAGGCAGATAGAGACCGTGTACTGTGGTACATTTATTGACCAGTACAATTTTATAAAACAATTACTAGAAAATTATGTGGAATAATAGTTCAATAGGCTGTAAAAATATTAAATATATACTCTGAAAAGATTGAATTTGTTAAGTTATTATGTACATATGTGTTTATTTGTCTTCATTTATACATTTTTTTTTATTGAAGGAATAAATACTATGGTAAATGTTAAAGCAGTGACTAAAGCTAAAAGATGACATGAACATTTCCTTTCAAATCTAGTGTTAGCATGAGTGTGTGTGTGTGTGTGTGTGTGTGTGTATGCATCCCATGACTGACGATGTGAAAATATTATATATATTACTCAGCAGTTTGTATCCCACTCATTAGCCCTGACCTGACTGCAGCTCTTTGTCCTGAGTAAACCAAAAGACACATGGCTGCTGACGGTGTCTCTGCAGCCTGTCCCTCAGTGATTGAGAGACAAAAATACTCCAGTATCATCTTTGTTGTTTTGGGATTTGTCCTTTCATAGTGTAGCTTGGAAACAGGAAAACCAATAGTGGGAATAGACCCCCAAATATAATTAATTTTGTGGGGGCAGGGCATTGGTGGGTGGACTATTATTGCAGGAGGAAGAGTTCTAATCAGTTGCAGATTTCTTCCTGTTTGGTTAGCGTGACCGTGGCCAATTACGAGTGAACCCTGTGTTACAGTTTCACTTCCTGTGCTACCCAAAGAATGGACTGAGTCCGGCACAGCTGAGTCTGGAGAGAGAGAGATGTAGTGTGGGACAAGAATGGAAGAGAGATTAAAAAAAAAGCTGGAACAAGACAAATAAAGATGAGACTGTTTGAAAGTGAGCACGGCAAAATGGCAGGGAGAGAAGAAGAAGAAGAAGTCTGGTCGGAGCGGGTAGACAGACGTGAAGGCACATACGTACCTTATCCAGCTAATACAGAACATGATGTGGTTTACAAAGGAAATGAAAGGATTTGGTCCTGACTTCTCTTGCTGGTTCAGCTGCTCCGGCCGACAGAGCGAACGCAGGCAACAAATGCAATAACTCATAACTCAATCATTTCAGCGATGTTATCAAAAGACACAATTTGGCATCGCTGTTTTTCCCCCGCTAAATTGAATTAAACCACCGGACCAAACAACTGAATGACAATTACTACGGCATTCCGGGATTTGCATAAAATTCCCCGATTTTCCCAAGCCTGCAAGTAACTCAGTACGACATGGAAGGATCTCCAGGCGTGTCAGCCCAGATAGTGCTGTTGGTGAAGGCCTGCCAAGTCTGTAGTTTACACCATGTTATAACAGAATTGTCACAGTAACTGTCAGACTCAATTCTTAAACCTTTTGAGGGGCTTCATCTTGTTCTCTGTGTTTTTCATATCAGTTTGTTTCATCACTTTTGGTTGATTCTCTTTCGGTATCATGATTATTCAAAGTATTTAAGACGGTTCAAGAACATCGTGGTCAAATATGCAGGATCAGTTGTCAGACTTATTTCCATTAGTTACTGACCAAAGCTAATGTAGATTCATAGTTTTATTCCTTCAATTATATTTATATATTATATTTAAACGTGCAGAACACCTTGGAAGTGTACTGCAGTACTTGGTGTGTAACCCTTGCAGAGTTAGGTTGAGGGCGCCGTTGTACATGTGTTTTTCAGTTCGTCACGTGCACGACGACGACGCACGCTCCGTGGACCGTGTAGTCAAAGCATTGGATGGAAGTCTCTGGTTGCAGAAATACAGTGGGGTAAAAAAAAAGCCCTGGAAAAATTCTCTGCTAGTTTAAGTCGTAACTCCGTCAATGCGTTAGACGTGGTGAAAATATGGCTACTTTTAAATGAATGCTTGATGGTAGTTACATTTATGTCGTAATATTTCACTGTCCCACCTAAAAAGGGCTTCCTTATGACTTAAGGACTGGCTGTTTACTTGGAGCCTGTTGACAAATCGAGATGTCAATCACAACATCTGACCAATTATTACCTCATCACTTATTTGTCTCTAGACCAAATCATAATTTTTAAAAAAAAATATTTATATATTTTTTATATACTTTTATTTTTATATAAGAAGTCTTTCCATTTTTCATTAGGATAAAAATATTGTAGATGACGTTTATCCTCTAATTCCACTAAAGACTTTTTTTATTTTTTTTATTTTTGTTGTTTTCATTGCGTCACTAGGCTATGTTGATATACAGTATTTTATTTTTTCTCTCTGTTATTCTGTGTACAACACACAGATACCCACTCACTCACCACTAACTCCATTACAGGTCAACAGATAAATGTGTGACAAAGACGGTGTCACAAAATCACATTCTTCTAAGTCTGTTACACACGAGTGCTTACACCGATTGACGAACAAGTGTGTGTACGAACACACACACACTCACGACGAACCATATGAGATTAAAAATATGAGATGAAGAGCAATACTGTCAGTGTGGAGCACAGGGTCCAAGTCACTAAACTGATCCGACTACAGCACACATTCTCACTTCCTGCTCAGTCTTCTGCCGCAGCTGCCTGGAATCATTTCACGAACACAAGGTATTCCTGGAAGAATTGATTCTGTTAGATAGGACATTGATCACACACACTGCCCTGCAGACAGAAGATGGCTTTACAAGCAATAAGATGGGAGACAATTATATTATTTTAGTAAAATAAGACAGAGTACAAGCAGCGAGTGCCAATAGCTCAGGCGGGGGGGGGGGGGGGGGGGG